AACAAATTGGAATTGGGGAATATAATTGGCTATTCACATGTCCATGAAATGCTAGTATGTACTATATGAATTGCTGCTTCATTTGAGGGTAAATCCCTACCCCCCTGCCTAGCTTGAAAAGGTTCATTTTAGAAGCTTTAAAAAGAAGAAGAGTTGATTTATGCTAGGGGGGGAAGGAAGCACTGAAAAATAGTGCCCATTGGAAAATTGAATGTAATCTCAGTTCAGATCCTGGATCTAATTAAAACTCGACCATTCATTAATTGCCCTTCACTTTTTTTGACAAGCAAGCTATGAAGGACTTCAGTGCTACAAAATAATCAATAATGGCTTACTACATCAGTGCTTTCCTTAACTCCCTTAATTTGTTTATTTTTTGTTTAATTTGACTCAGTTGATGGCTGTTCCTGCGTACATATTATTCAGTGACTGCAGCTTGTCATCCTAAACAAATACCTCATTTTCCCAGCCACAAAAATTCAAGCGGTGCATATATAAAATGGAGCAAGCAGCTGCTGCATCCTTTTAGCAGCCTAAATTACGAACATTTTATACTGGGTTGTAAAAACATCAAGAAGTTATAAGATCGGAATTTGAATCCTCTAATTTAGCAAATTCCTAGGACACACAACCTTCCTTTTTTGCAGTCAATTTTTTCGGCTTTCTCATGTATCTTTTCACTGCTCTGGACTAGCATCTGATGTTTTTGAGGGATCAGCGTTCTCCACTGCAGATAACCTAATCTGAAATGTACATCCCAGTTCCTTAGAGTTCCACACATACAGTCAGGCCTCACTCTTGGAACATGGTCTCTAAAAGAAAATCTGTAGGGGAAGGGCGATGAAGAGAGAGTCAGGCCAGGATTACTTACCCCCGGAAGCATACGGCAGTATTTTTTTATTTAGGAAACTACCATTTTAGATGGGAGGGGGGAGAGCATAAATACTTAGAGTTACCAAGGGAACCCTCCACGTTATAATCATGTGCCTTTGGTTTGTCTAAGAATGGTAGCCTACCTGGAGAATCCTGCAGCTCCCTCCTACAGTTGGAACATTATGTCGGTCGCAAGCCTTGAGTCTGCCCTCTGCTTCTTTCACCCTGCTAATCCCTTTCCAGTTTGGTGTAGTGGTTAAGTGCGCGGACTCTAATCTGGGAGAACCGAGTTTGATTCCCTACTCCTCCACTTGCAGAATGTCCTTGGGCAAGCCATAGTTCTGTCAGAGGTGTTCCTGAAAGAGCAATTTCTCTCAGCGCTCTCTCAGCCCCTCCTACCTCACAGGGTGTCTGTTGTGGGGAGGGGAGGGGAAAGGTGTTTGTAAGCCACTCTGAGACTCCAAGTGAAGGGTGGGGTATAAATCCAATCTCTTCTTCTCTTTGTGGCCTTCTGATCATCAGTGGCAACAGCAGACACTTTCCCCACCCACACACTTTGTCTTATTTCTGATTGGAGATAGAACTGTTTGCGTCTCCAGGCATCCAGAAGGGATGCAGGACTGCCTTAGGTGATCAGAAGTCCTCCTCCAGAGGTGGTTTAGCTTTGGCAGGTCAAGATTTAGGATCAGGGACATAGTCACATCCCAAGGGAATGCACATCTTGTGTCACAGTTGCACGGTGCACTACGAAAATAACTTGTTGACTGCTCTGACCTGGATAGCTCAGGCAAACCCAATCTCATCAGATCTTAAAAGCTAAGCAAGGCCAACCCTGGCAAGTAATTGGAAGGGAGACCTCCAAAGAATACCAGGGCTCGGGACACAGAGGCAGAAAACTATACCACCTCTCTGAAAAATGACCAAACCCCCAGAAGGGGTCGCCAGAAGTCGCCATGACTTCCAGGCATGCAAGCAAACACGCACACACACAAAAATACCGCCCCCTCCCCAAATAACTTGTTGACCCTCTCTAGGGACTGGGCAGTTGCACAAGTGCATGGCTAGATACTGTTCCTTTGTTTTGTACACAGTGAAGATTTTTGATAGGGTGGCGTCACAGTTAAAGTGCTGCATTGTCTTGAAAGTCCACATGTTTGCCTTGGTGGTTGGCTCTTGGTGCTGTGGTCCATATCATTGATTCTCTTCTACCAATGGATTTGCTTTGTTGCTCTGAATATTAGAAAACCACATTTGAAAACTGTTCAACACTATGAGATGCCTTCATTCTGCCATCCGCATCCAAGACTCTGAATGCTGCCCATGGTGGATATGCTATGATTATGCTTTTAGACACCTTCTGCATTGTTTGACATTTGTCATTGTACACCAAACATTCTTGGAGTTCCAATAATGGCGGTTTCCTTCCATTCCCCCCCCCCCCAAAGTATTCTTTCTTTTCTTCAAGGACTTAGTAAGTTACTGTTAACCACAGTCCTTTTAGTAATCTAATGTTTCATCATATTGGCATTTGTCTTGTAATCTCAGATTAGAGTGTACAGTGATAAGAGTATCAGGTGTCCAGAAAGGGAGGATGAAGAATCATGACATGAATTGCATGATCTTTGATAATCCAGTATATTATAAGGCTTTATAATCTTCTTGCGTGGCATTTGATATCCGGAGAACAAATAGTGGAAGAAGGGGGGGAGAAAGGAATCATGCTTCCATCTTCTAACCTGCCATGTGTGCAGCCAGTGATCTGGAACCATTCTATGTGTATGTGGCTGCATACCCATAAGAGATAAAGGGAAAACAGAGTTCTGACCCTTGCAGAAAGAGGCAATGTTGTTATGTGTGTATGTTCTATTCCAGGGGTGTCAAACATGTGGCCCGGGGACTGGATCAGGCCCCCGGAGGGCTTCTATCAGGCCCGCAGTGGAACTGGCTGTCTCCTGCTTCTGCTTCCACTTCTGCCGCTGCTGTGTCATTGTAGGTTTGCAGCTTAAAGATACACACCTGAACAGCATACTCAATATTGCAACAGCACAGACCTTTTGATGCAGTAATTCAGAGCAAGAGGTGTCAGTTATCAGACAGTGTTAAATAAACAAAATATTGCAAGAGTGCTAATGTTTTAAGCATGTCTTTATTTTAAGTGTTTGTGTCCTTTATAAAGTTTATATCTCCGCTACTTGGCATTACATTTTCTCACACACATGGCCCAGCCCAACAAGGTCTCATTTATGTCAGATCCGGCCCTCATAACAAATGAGTTCGACACCCATGTTCTATTCTAACCTTCAATTAAACAGTGAGAGGTGGGGCCAATAAGTATGACTCACCAAATGCCGGACGTTTTCTAAAAAGGGGTTCTTAGGTCAAGCTTGAGTTTGGCACTTCACGTTGCCCCATGTCTCCAGAAAACTCTTTATCAGAAATCAAGACTTTTCCTGCATAACTCTGTTGTCTTACCACAGTAAATGTAAGGCTCCATTTTCAAACACTTCGTAATATCGTTCCTGTTGAATATCAGAGTAGTGTTTTATGTATTAACTTTTCGTCTTTACCGAAGTGGATGTAATCATAATTTACACCTGGCACAGATATCTGGACCCAATAAAATTGGGCACTGGTCCATGCTGGAATACAAAATGTAGTCTCCAGATGTGAATTATAGATGCTGTACATGCAGTTTCCACTACAGCTGTGGTGCTCTTTGGAATCCCTTCCATTGTGGGAAATGCGCTAGCTGCCGGGGGGGGGGGAGGGAGAAGTGTTATCCTTCAGCTCATGTAATAGGAACCAGCAAGGATATTTTACTTTCATGAGCATCAGTATTGTTTTGAGGCCCTTTTGTATGTAAAGCATTGCACATAGTATATTTTGTACTGTAGACCAAAACAAATTGGGGAATCGGTTGTTCTGGATATAGCTGAAAATAAAATGAAAGTTCCCAATAGATTTTAAGCCCCGGAAGATCATAAAAGTCAGCCATGCTTTAAATGCGTGAAATGTTTTGATGACTCCACTCTGCAATTGTGTGTATCTCCCATATCTATCTGCGAGAATATGTTACCTTAAAGGAAAACAGTCAGTTTTTACTTAGTAAAGAAATGCAGTGAACAAATCATGGTGTGATCATTCATGCCTAGTCGCAGAGATCAAGTTCTACCTACGAGTGCCCATCCTGTCATACAAGATGCGATTTACTGTGTGATGAGTTATATCTGTCATATATTATTGCTTAATTTGAGATCCTCAATTTAATAATGCTGGAATACATAAAAAAAGGGAACACACATCACATGGGTAGCCAAAACAAAATAAAATGATGGGTCAACTTGGTTCATTCATCATCAACATGCTATCAGCAATTTTTTTGTTTGACTAAGTGAAGGATTAAACTTTGAATTCTCTTTCTGTTTATTCTCTTTGTTAAAATGAGACACAGCCACTTTTTATTACCGTGCACCAAAAGTGGACTCCATGGTAGATATGAATCAGTGCACTGATAAATATGGATGGAAAATGTTTAAAAGTTGCATTCGTTTTGCTTAAAGGAGTGGCTAAGAGCTGGAAATGCAAATGAGGAAGCCGTTGGGTTCAGTCTCACCTTTGCTATGAACTCATTAAGTGGCGCTAAACAAGCCTGCCTTTCTCTGTCCAAGCCTCAGCCCCTATCTGCAGTATGAGAATAATACCGACTGACCTCGCAGGATTGGTGCAAAGGGTGCAAGATAATGTCTATGCAGTGTCAGAGCGGCTTACAAACTCCTTTCCCTTCCCCTCCCCACAACAGACACCCTGTGAGGTAGGTGGGGCTGAGAGAGCTCTGACAGAAACTGCTCTTTGTCAAGAACAGCTGTGCCAGAACTACGGCTTGCCCAAGGTCATCCAGCCAGGTGCAAGTGGAGGAGTGGGGAATCAAACCCGGTTCTCCCAGATTAGAGTCCGCGCACTTAACCACGACACCGAACTGAATCCATACATTTATGGGATTGGAGTGTTGCTGATGACTGTCTAACCCAGTATCCCTACAATTGCTCCTCTGTATAAAAAGAAATTATTGCTCAGGAGGTTTTAAACAATATATTTGTTACATGTTCCTTTTTTAAATTAAATTGCAGCTGGACAACTGAGTCAGTCAGCACACTTTGCTCTCCAGCTCCCGTACAACGTTTTGGGCTTGGGACGTAGCGCCAATTTCCTCGATCACCTGTATGTTGGTATTCCTTGTCCTCCGGGTGCAAAGGTATGTGAAAGTCCGTAATTTGCCTAAAGCTGTACTGATGTTTAGTATGAATGTCTGAATTCAGTTGAGTGCTGTGCTCAGGATCACATTGGACTCCTAACCCTGGGGGAGGTTGCGGTGCAGTGTCATGAGCATGCTGGGATTGTGTCTTGAGAACTGCAGTAAACACAGGCTGGCTGAAATTTGAATATTTGTTGTTCAGTCGCACCGTCGAGTCTGACTCTTCACGACCCCATGGACCAAATCATGCCAGGCCCTCCTGTCTTCCGTCATGCTCCGGAGTTTGCTTAATTTCATGTTCGTTGCCTCGATAACACTGTCTGATCATCTCATCCTTTGCCGTCCCCTTCTTCTTTGACTTTCAATCTTTCCCGGCATCAGGGTCTTCTCCAGTGAGTGCTCCCTTCTCATTTAATGGCCAAAGTATTTGAGCTTCATCTTCAGTATCTGGCCTTCCAGGGAACAGTCAGGGTTGATTTCTTTTAGGATTGATTGATTTGTTCTTCTTGCAGCCCAGGGGACTCTCAAGAGTCTTCTCCAGCACCATAATTCAAAAGACGCTATTCTTCGGCGCTCGGCCTTCCTTATAGTCCAACTCTCACAGCCATACAGTACTACTGGGAATACCATTGTCTTGACCATATGGACTTTTGTTGGCAGGGTAATGTCTCTACTTTTTATTATACTGTCAAGGTTTGCCCGTTGCTTTCCTCAAGGAGCAGGCGTCTTTTAATTTCATGGCTGCAGTCACCATCTGCAGTGATCTTGGATCCCAGGAACATGAAGTCTGTCACTGCTTCCACAACTTCTCCTTCTATTTGCCAAGGAGTGATGGGGCCGGATGCCATGATCTTAGTTTTTTTGATGTTGAGTTTCAAGCCAACCTTTACGCTCTCCTCTTTTACTTTTAGCATGAGGCTCTTTAGGTCCTCTTCACTTTCTCCCATTAGAGTGGTATCATCTGCATATCTGAGGTTGTTGATGTTTTTCCCCGCAATCTT